CTCACCGTAGTACTGCAGCCCCACTGTGGCTGCGGCCAGCAGGGCTCCGAGCACCTGGAAGAAGGTGTAGAACGGCAGTCTGATCCATGAACATCTGCCCAGAACGCACAAGCTCAGGGTGACCGCGGGGTTCAGGTGAGCACCTTGAAACAAACACAGTTGATGGTGTTTAAAGTTTCAAATTGGATATTAATCAATGTTTTCATAATATTCTTGAACATTTGGACTTTTGGTTGTACTGTACAGTAATATGTATTCTGGTTGTAATGGGACTAGGCTGAGTCTCTGTCAAAAAGAAATTAGCATCTAAACAAACGTGATGCAAGACGTTTTATGAACTGATGGAGTTATAATGGAACAATGTGCTCCTTAAAAGAGCAGGGAGTGAAAAATAAGTTAACTTTTTGGAATGTTTAGGATCCATCGGGAAAAAAACTCATCACAAATGAGTTGTTCACCATCAAAATCAAGATTACATCCTTGGCCTGGTTTAAGTCGGGTTTATCTGACTGATGTCAGTTTATATGTGACTTTTACTGAAAAAAAGAGTCAGAATGAGCACAGGCTGCAGTGAAAATATTAGAAATGTAAACGTTGATTTGTGCTGTAATTGAAATTCATGTAAAAAGAAAAGTCCATAAAGACACCATCTATTGAGTCCAGTAACTAGAATACCACAAAATCTCCCTAATCTACCTAAAAATCTGTTTTCTAACTGACTATTTGTCTTCAGAAATGATATATTGTCTTACAATTCTTACATTCATTGATGTTAATGCAAAGCTCGGCGATTCCCAATTTAATATACACGGCTTGAATTCCTGATAACATCATTCTACACCCTGAAAAGAAAGTTTTCAAACCACTCTTAAAGATAATCTGCTCGTTGCCAGACGATAAATCGCCAGATTTCAACAAACTATATCGTTTTGAAGCTTTTGAGAATTTGAAAATAATAATTTAATATAAAACCTTTTCACTGTGACTCATTTTGCCATCATAGGCTGCAAATGTTCCATTATCTGTCCTCATCATATAGACTCAGTCATGGTGTTCCACAGGGTCCTGCTCCAAGTCCAATTTTGTTTTCAGTATTTACACTTCTTTTAGGCTTTATTGTTAGGAAATACAGTATTCATTAAAACTCTTATTCTGACAAATAGCTCTATTGTGAATCTTACGTATATACAATTTTTTCTCAGTTTTAATTATGTTTTATCATATTTTCACTAAGTTTATGCTTTACATGCTTTGCGTTCTGATATTTTTAATTACATTGTCATATCTAACTCTTTATCTGCCGGTTTTGTTAGGCACTATATTGTGTTTGTTTTTGAAAACTACTAAAATTATAAAGTTGAGTTCAGCATTTTATTTTTTTGTTTGTTGTGAATTAAACAGGTGAACTTTGTTGCAGTGCAGGGATAGGTATGTAAAAAAAATTGGGTTCATTTTAAATCCTTTTTAAACCTATAGTTTATTTATTTGCAAAAACATTAGTTTTATCTATTTGGCCGCCTTATTTTGTTGAATTTGGTAGGTTTTACATCTTGAACCTAAATCAGCAGGACTCTTATCTGAGCTCATACAGCTGTATGAATATTTAATATTTGTGTCTGATTTGATTTAAATTCAGACTAAACCTCGAAACAGTTCATTCACCTAGCCAGGTTCACCTTCTGTTATCTGTAACGTTTGCGTCTTACCCGAGACTCCGCGGGACACAAAGACCCCAAAAGTCACCCCCAAAGCAAAGCTCAGGTTGATGGACAAGTACTGGCCGTTTCTCTCGCCAGATGTGGTCACCTGGGCTGCTGAGCCACATCCGAACAGCTGTAAATATAAAATATAGAAGAGTTTCAGAGTTGTAAACAAAAAAAAAACTTTATGAAATTAATAAAATGCTGAAAACAAGCTGTTTAAATTTACACCTGCCTGTTCAAACAGGATGTTTTGTAAAAATATTATTCTGAAATGATAAACAAAAGACCCTAAAGACTAAAGACTTGATTTCTGATTAACCTGCTTTATGGTCTGCTCTGTAAATGTTCATTGCTCTGGCAGAGGAGACAGTCATTAAGGATAAAACAACTGTCCTACACCCCCACCCACCCCAGGTTTTTCTTAATCGGGCCAAAGTCCTACAAACTTATCCACTAAGCTTTAAAGCAGAAGAGCAAGTTATCTCTTAGGAATCTGTTGACATGTGGTCAGAATGCATCAGACAGGCACTTACAATCAGGACGTAGACCCCGAGAAATTCAGCCATGCACTCCCTGACCAGCCTGTTTTTGATCCGACACCTTCTCAGCAGCCTCTCCATCCTCCAGCTGTCCCCCTGAAGTCCACTGGTTCAGCGTCAGGTGAACTTTTCAGAGATCAGGTGTGTCCGAGCTGCGCAGCTCTGCTCCTTCAGCCTCTCTGAGCAGAGTTCGATCCTTCAGGCTGGAGTTGTTGTTACGCCACGCAGTTTTTATTACGAGGCTGACTTTCACTCCTGCAGACGAGACATTTGCAGGAGCTGCTGAGACAAATCATGATCCAGGACTGAGACCAGCTCCAGCTGACTGGAATCAACTGATTGTGTTCCATGTTTTCCTCTGATTGTTTGGAGTTCTGAACAATTAACATCTTACCTGTTGTAGATAATGGTTAGCCTGAGCAGAGCCATTAAGAGTTCCAGTTATTTAAAAGTACAAATAACAGCAGTAGCAGCTGGCTGTAGCCCTTCCTGTGCAGAACGGAGCTCTTCTGATAGGAATATTACATTTTTGCCTGAATAACCCTGATGTAGTGCAAACCTGATGATATAAAGGTTTATAAAATAATGCTAACATGAAATATGAAAACTGAGATTTGAAGGTGGCAGCAGTCCACTTTATTGTCCTTCCTCAGTCCAGTCAGAATTAAACATTTCTCCAAACTGAGGTCACCTAAAGAACATCTACAACAGGTAAGATATTGTCCATTACCTTTCCACAGAACCGCACCTCAACAAGTCTGAATAATACAAAAAATACTCATGTATTAGTTTAATTTAAAAAACTTTTTTTTTCAGTGCTAATAAATGCAATTAAACCATAAATATTTTGATATTTTATCCATATTTCTATTCCGAACAGCTCCAGTGTAACTTTTATTAAGTCCACGGCGTCGTCACACATTTTGTTCATCGTCTCAGGGCACTCAGACTCTCCAAGGGTTGAAAACAGTGTCAACAAGTTTACACATAATTCCTGAGAACTGAAACAATGAGGCAAACAACTGTATAAATATATTAAATCTTTATTTTATTATTTGATTCCTCCCTCAGTTCCATCCACGCTCTGGGACGATACAAAAATAAAACATTTCACCCAAACTTGTCAGCGCGAGATGAGTGAGTCGGTTTGTAAAAGTTGGATTTTTCTGTTACGTCAGCAACATTTTATTCAACGCATTTATTTTGGCAAATCAAGAAACTTTAGTTTGTCCATAAATAATCAAACTGAGCTCAAGAGGAACAGCTGTGGGGGGGAATGAAACCTAAAAGTGACGAGTCCAAAGTGTGTTTTCATCTACGAGTTATTTAAATCCTCCAAAGAACTTGGAGAATAAAGAGCTGTCGTCCCGCAGGTCTGAGAACCGATGTGGCTCACCTGGAACAAAAACACAAAATGAAAACAAAAAGAAATGAGAGCCATTTTATTTTCTACCAAAATGCAGTGAACACAGACAGCCGAACGACAGCCGAAATGTTATGAAGACCTCAAACCGAGTAAAAGTTAAAAGCAGCAGAACAATAGTTAAAAGTAGAAATAAAAGCCAGAAGTAGCAACCAGTAGTTGAAAACAGCAAAGGGCTTGATAAAAGCTAAAACTATCAAAAGGTAACTAGAAGCCAAAAGTAACAAAAAAGGTAGTTTAAAATTAAAAGCACCAACAGGCTAGAAAATATCTTAAAGTAGCAAAAGGCTAGTTAAAAACTTAAAGTAGCAAAAGGCTAGTTAAAAGCTTAAAGTAGCAAAAGGCTAGTTAAAAGCTTATATTTTTTGATACTTTAATATTTTTAGTTTAGGAACCCAGACTGGAGCTGAACTGACCTGGACACACGGGTCCAGTCTGGTGGTCTGCTGGTCCCTCCAGCATCCCCGCACCACCTGAGCGAGTCACTGTGGTCTTCTCGTTTCCCTGTCCGTCTCGGACCGTCCGCCGCTCCTCCACACTCTGACACACACACACACACACTCAATGTTTCATTTGTGTTTTGAACAGTTTGTTTCTGGATTTTCTGACATTAAAACCTAAAAAAGTGAAAAAGTTTTCCCATCAAACATCAGATTATTTCCCATCAGACATATGTAACGTTTTTACTTCTGGTTGATTCATTTATTAATTAGTGGTAGAAATAAGTTTCCACAGAAAATGGCCGCTGCGAGGCATTATCTCTAAGATTTAGGAAGAGTATCGGGGAAACATCAGATTCTTTCCCATCAAACATTTCTTGAACATTCAAATGATATAAATCTTACATCTGCGGATCAGTAAAGAAAACTCACCCCGTCGGGCTTCACCACCTTTGTGACACTGACTGACTGGAAAAATGACCGGGTTCTGGGTTGACTCGGCGCCTGAGCTGCAGGTGGAATCAGAATCTGATCCAGGCCACCGGACGACACTGCAGAATCCAGATCTGGAGGGGATCAGATCAAACAATAGCTTTAAAAATAAAACCAATTAAACCTATATGTAAGAAAAAGACGAAGAGGAGATATGGATGCAGTTAGAGAGGACATGGAGGGAGCTGGAGTGAGGACAGAGTGAGATGGAGGAGGATGACTCGCTGTAGAGGGAAACACAGAAAGAAGAAGAACAAACCTAAATATAGGAAACTAAATCTTTCTTACCTCTATCTTCTTTGGGCTCCTCAGCTGGAGTTTTCTGTGGTTCCAGCCTCCAAATATCATTAAACTGTTATACATATAAAGAAATCAGATCTGATTATTAGAATAAATCAGCTGTAACTGAAGCAAAGTCCTGCTGGAAGAACTTTCAGGATCAATCTATGACTCAGGTACCTTGGAGAAAGGTCTCCAGCCATGAAAAGGCGAATGAGGGAATTCTGGTGTCTCGTAAGAAGGCTGGACATCCCTCGGAGCCTCTCCATACGGTTCTCGCGGGTCTCCGTTGGGAGATTTGAGCATGAAGTCCCTCAGAGGGTTCCCACCGCTTCCACCTCTCTCTGATCTGCCCTGAGGCGGTGGCGGCGGCATGATTCTGGGAACATCTAAATCACAGCGGTAAGATGACCAGAGCATTATTTTTTTTAAAGTTTTGGTTAAATTTAAACTTCTATTTAACTTTGAAGAAGAAATTTAACGTGAAGAAACCTTCTAGGTTAATTTAAGACAACAAAACTATTAACATTAAAAACTAGCAAGACATCAAACTGTTAAAAGTCGTTACAAATGTTCAGCTCGATCAGAAAAATGTGTTTTCACTTTGAGCGGGTGAAAAGTTTTGCTAATTTTTTAGTCATCTAGCTGGTTTTAGATACAGTGTTGCTAAATTTAGCTTTTGGTTTTGTTATTGTTCACTATTCAGCAAATGTTTAACTGATTTTAGTTGTTGTTTTGCTTATTAAGCTTATTTTAGGTACAGTTTTGCTGATGTTTCCGTTGAGCTTGTTTTATCTTTTAAAATGTGGTTACCAAGACTGATATTTTCCATCACAGCACATTTTCTCCGAGTTAAAAGGAATTAATCCTGAGAGTGGATGCAAAAATATATATTTTTAAATGAACGACCTACAGGTTATCTGTATATGAGAATGTGACAGAATCTGACTCTAGAAAAAGAAAAAAACTGACCTTTTAACCCAAGAATAAACATATTTAGGTGAATAAGAATTCAGGTTTCGTGATCAAATTCAATGCCTTGGTGTAAACTGTAAAAAGGACAAGTGTTGTGAAAAAGCACAATAACACAACCAGTGGAACATAAGAAAAACATATTTAACTTTTGTTTCATCAGTTGTGAGTAAACAGTGAAGTGATAAGTTCTCAAAACCTGTATTACGATAGAACATTTTTTAATTTTAACCTTTATTTATACAGTCTCATCGAATCACGAGGACTCATTTTCAAGACCTGTTTGTGAGCAGATGGTGGGGGTTAAGGACCTTGCTCAAGGGCCTAGAGTGGGGTAATTGAGGGTGGAGGCAGGTGTGGGTGCTTCATCTTTCCCACCCACATTTTGATGTTGGTCTGGGGAGTCGAGCTTGTGACCTTCCGATCACAGGCCCATCTTCTCTTACCTCTGCGCCACCACTCTCCTGTTCCTTTTGAGAACATTATAAGTCTCGTTTTATATCTCAGATTAAGAGAATCCCTGACTCCTCTAACAAGATCCAAAGTTCTCATGTTCCGAACAGGAAGGTGGTGAAAAGACGGGCATTCGTACCGAAGGATCCAGAATCTGTGTCCCCCTCCCATCGGCCCAACTGGGAAAAAATCTCCTCCATCTCCCTGAGGACGTGACCAAACACCGCAGGCTCCTGGAACCTCATCCCGTCCGGACCAAAGCTGAACCCAAACCTCAACGAATCGTCCATGGGGTCCTGCTGGTCTCTCCTGAACCCATCGTAGCAGAAACCGTCCTCATCATCACCTTCATCTTCATCGTGTGTCATGGCATCGAAGAAGGGGTCCCTAAAAATGAACCAGGTTTAGTAACAGACTGCACAGCTTTCCGTTAACAGGTTAATGGTTACTAGATTAGACCCTGATAAACACAATCGTATTACGCTTGGGCTTAAACTGAACAGTAGCTGTGCTAGTTGAGGGACCCCTGTGGTTTTCCTGGCATAAATTAAACTAATCTCGTCCTTTGACTTCGTTACCCAAGACACAAGTAACGAACTTGTGCTACTTTACGAACTTGAAATAGACAAACTCACCTTTGGCCTCGATAATGACCTCCAGGGACTCCGAAGAACCCACGAAACAAGTCAAAAACACTCATTTAATCGCAGCTTTGACAGAAAACTACACCGTAATATGAAAACATTAACAGCTGCTGGCGAGAAGCTACATACCAACAAACGTTAACTGAGCCGTAAAGCAATGGGGATTACGCAAAGTGTCGCAAAGTTACGCAAAGTGTCGCAAAGCGAACAGTGCGCCGAGAAAAACAAACGAAAAACAAAAACAAAAAAATCACAGGTAGATCACTTTTATTTGCGCCGATACCGACAACCCTTTTGCCAAACCACAAATTTTAATTACAAAACTAAATAGTGTGTCAAAAGAAAAATCTCGAAGTCGTGACGTCATCTGTCACGTGGTATCAAACCGCCATTTTTGGTTGGAGAAAAAAACAAACTTTTAGAAAACTGATAAAGTGAAGTATAGTGTAGATTATTTCCGTTTTTATCTTTTATATTCCTTCAAGTATATCCAAGACAGATGTAAGTATATGGATGCCCACATAAACTCCCGGCGGAAACGAGACTAAATGCTCGAGTTGAGCTACAAAGATGCGTAAGTTATTTTCTGACAATTTACAGTAGTAATTAAAGCTTTTCATTAATTTTATTCAGTCAATTCAGCGTCCTGATGTTTATGATAATTGACAAAATGACCGTCAATTTACACTAATTTGAGGTCAAGAGTTAGTCTGTAAAAAAATAAACAAAATAAAAAAGTTTAGCTTTTGATAAGGAAAGGTGTACGGAAGTCCATTTTTGCCATTTTCCCTTTTTAAAAATCAGAATTACCTCAAAATAAGAATGAAGGTGATCTCGTAAATGTATTATAATAAACAGGACTTAGCATTTCAATTTTTAAATGTCAAGTCATTTATTTTGATACTTACCCATTATTATACGATGCAAAAACATAGAAGTCAAATATATTTTAAGTCAAAAAGATGCAAAGTTTTAGTTGAGACACCAAAACTAGAACCTTGTATCTTTCATGATTTAATTTTTTTGATATGTTCTAATTATATGATGCTAATAATGATTCTCTGAAGTCGTAAATATGAAACACTGATGATTATGAGAGGCAAAGTCAAAAAAGATACTGTCATAATTTTGAAACAATACGACTAACAATTTTTTAATCAAAGTGGCCGAAATGAGCTTCCATAATTTTGACATAAACTGAGTTGTATGTTTACAATACCCATATTTACATTTAAGATATTTCGAAAATGCTCGTCTTGTGTACCTTTTTAGGACACAAGTACACAATAGCAAACTTGTCACAAAAGCAGTGATACATGACAGATTATTTGTGCTCAAATTTCTTGCTCCAGACCAGCAAACAGCCAATTTTCACCAACCCAGGAGTGGGATTTAATCACCCAGTCAGTCTCATCGGGAATATATAAAAAAGCATTTGTTCTATATTTTTATTCATGTTTAGCCAAGCATAGCTTTCTTCTCTTATCATAGGTTACTGAAATCTACTTTTGTAAATTGTACGGTAATTTAAAAAATCCCTGCAAGTAAACCCACTTCTTGCAGATTTGTTAATTCATACGATTCAAAGCCGTCCGCAACAAAAACACCAGAAATACAAGAAACGCCGCTATTTTCACAAGCCACAAGAAATTGTTTATTAAGACATTAACATCCAAAATGATGAAAATGCCTTTTTCTTATTTACCTATATTTATATATTTTTACAAAATAAAAAAATGAAACAAAAAGGCTAACAAGTCTGCAAGGATTTGAAAAAGAAAAAGAGAAAGCCATTGACAAACAGGGACTACAGTACTTGTTTTTTTTATATATATGTACAAGACAATTTTATCCATTTAAATCTTTAAAACACAGTACAAAAAGGAAAAAAAAAAAACATTGACAAAAAAAACTATTCTTACAATTCTGTCCATCGGTATTCAATGCTGCGGATTTCTTTACGTCAGGGGACAGGTGGCGAAGCAGGGAAGAGGCGGGGGTGAGGGCTCAAAAACAAAACGGACTGAAAGGCAAATTGTGTGCATGGACGTGGGCCTCAGAAATCATTCTTTCAAAATAAATGCAACATTGTTTCTAATTTGGGAACAGTAACTGTACAAAACGCTGGGTAATGAAAAAAATCCTGTGCTAGGAGGAAAAAACCGAAGCACAGAAACAACCGCGGCCCCCGTGTGATCGAACATGCACGCAGTCACATGACAAACACACTTTCCTCACAGTCCAAACCAGTGAGCTTCGCTTAATACGACTTTATATATAATATATTTATATCTGGTAAAAAATAAACTTCACAACTCTTCCAATTCAGAGAATTGTTTCTTCAAACTAAAAATGACAAATAATAAAAAGAAAACATTCAAAAGCATATTTCTATTTTTGGATATTTTGTGAAGGAGGAAAAAGTTTTTCATGAATATTAAAGAGAGGAGGTGAAGGCGAGAAATACAAACCTGCCTTGTATCCCCCCCCCCCCCCCCCCAATGTTCAGATATTACTTCATTCTTTCCCTTAGGCCAGAAAAATGGAAATAAAAGAAATAAAAAGGACAGGAAATGTTCATTCTTTTAGAAAACAGTTCTATGTTAAATGTAAGATAAAGAAAAGAGGGTGGGGTGCTGCACACGGGGGGGGGGGGGGGGGGGGTGTATTATCAACGGTTTCAAATTTCCAACACTCATATTCCACCTCTTGATTTTTTTCAACCTTTTAGATACAATCCCACTTCGAAGCTCCTTCTCCCCCCCAACCCCCCATTTCGACGGTGCTAGTTCAGCACAGCACCTCCTGTGGGCTGTGGGAATGCTGAGCCAAAAGACCCGGGGTGGGGGGTGTCCCTCTAGGAAGAGGGGGGAGGAAACCGACCAAAGGAGGAGTGATGAGCCCTGCTTCCTTTTCTCAGCTCGTCGACGAAGTGGGAGGGGTTTGGTCAGTGGATGTTAGTTGCCCCCCCAGTTGTAGCTGTTGTATGCCGACTTGTTGATCTGAGACTTTTGCTGAATGGAGGCGTTCTGGCTGCGCTGCCCGGTCCCGCTCTGTCGGGACAGCAGAGAAATGAGACATCAGCAAATGTCTGAACGCTGAGTCAGCGCTCACACGGCTGTAGTTTCTATCAAACGTTTATGAGCAGCTAAAGTTTTCAGAAAACCTTCAGCACTTTTACTCTTCAGGTATCAAAATGTCAGCTGATTCAGAAGTTTGGTGCCAAGACTTTTGGTATTTGCAACTATTTAAATTATTTAACTTTTTATTTAATTGAAATTACATTTTTAAAAATTTAGGCAAATTTTAGCTTTTAAGTTTTTTTTTTTTAATTTTAGCTAACTTAAAAAAAAAAAGTAATTCGCACATAACTTTTGCATGAAATAATGTTTTCTGGTTCATGCTGGGCAATCAGCAGATGTGAAGTCTATGCGGTAATCCTCTATTTGAACTTCTTATTTCCAAAAATCGTTTCCCAATTACCAGATTTACACGTTTATTTGTGATCGATGCATTCTGAAATTGAGGATGTAGTGAGACTCAATCAGCTCATTCTTCCTAAAGGTCTTGCACACAGGATTCATACAACTTTGCAATATATATGCAATATATGGGAAATAATTTGCATTTAAATAGTGCATGTTTAAGATCTGTGAGGTTCACCTGTTATCCTACAATGGTTTTCCATTATTTTTTCAGTTACAATGAGTTTTTTATGCATACCGTTTACAACCTAGAAAATACTAAAAGCAAATTCCAGATGTTCTCATTCTTTCCCCGATTGTGCTGGTGCCCCGCTTTACAAACATACAAGATGCTTTATGAACTGCCATTCTTAGATTAGATTCAACTTTATTATTGTTGCACGTCACGCGTCTGAGGCAACAAAATAGTTTGCATCTAACGTGAAGTGCATAATAGTAATAATAACGAGGGAGAGATGCGTCGAGGGGCAGAGTTCAGCAGAGAGACAGCTAAAGTGGTGCCTGAATCTTGTGGTTTTGGTCCTCAGGCTCCTGCAGCACCTCCCACAGGGCATGAGTGCAAACGCACGGTGTGTTGGGGATGGAGTTATTCAGTTTCCTGCAGATATCCTCAAAAGCATGAAATGAGGCTTTGTAAAGAATTCACCACCTGCAACACCTGGTTTAACAGAACTGTTCCTGTATCAGACTGTAATACAGTCAATATGCTCTCGACGGTGCACCGAAGCTCCTCAGGATGACTGAAGATGGATTTTCTTCAGAGTGCACAGTAAAGGATCATGACTGTCATCGTTCAGACAAAATTCAAGATTTTTCTTTCCCAACAATGACTGAACAAGCTACAGATCCATACTCTTACGAATGAGGGGAAAAAAAAAAAGAAAAACAATTAGAGTTATACAATTAAAATAATCAGAAATTCAAATCATGCACGCTACCTGTCCATCCTGCTGCAGGTGGTGGTGCAGAATCTGAGAGTGGGGCTGTTGGTGCGGAGCCAGAATGTGCATGAAGGGGGCCGGAGCGTAGCCAGCCGCAGCCGGGGGGTTGATGGGCCCCCCACTCCCCAGCGCTGAGGGCAGGCTGAAGGAAGCTGCTGGTGTCGCAGCGTGGAAACCCTGCTTTTCAAATGACTGAGATAGGAAGCAGAACCAGGACTCAGACTTTGTCCAACATTTAACTTAAGCACATCTTCTTTTAAATTATAATTTAGATTTTCTACAACTGTGATTACCTGTGTCTTTGTGTAAACAGACCCAGAAATATCTGGTACTCCTGTGTTGCTGGACGTCACAGAAACTCCTGCGGAGACGAGAGAAATGTCACAAACTTTGATCGAAAAGTTGATAAAACTGACCACGAGAATGTGACCCTCAAACCAACTGGCCACATTTAGACGTTTTGGGAAAAAAAAAAAAAAAAAGGTGTGGTTCATAATAACTAAATGAAAACATCTAATACTAAGAAGGTTTTAATTAACATCTATGTGTGTATTTGTAGATTATTTCAACAGAATTGTCCTTTAATGAGGACAACAGAGACAAAAAGGAGACGAGGGATGAATTAAGAATTTAAAAAATGGAGTATCAGCGTCAGGGGTTTATTGTCCTGGTCGTTCAATAAACAGAGTCCTCGTCTCGCTGCAGAAACAGATTAGTCTCCTGATGCACCAAAACAAGACAGAGCGAACGTTTAAGAATTTAGAAACATTTTCATAATCACAAAAACACAGCTGTTAAGAGTTTCCTGAATATACGATGAAAAATGTTCTAATAAAAAACAAAAAGACAGACTTTTTTTTTTTTAACAAAGTCTGAATATAACCAGGACTGAAGTACTGGTATGTACTAAATAATTTAAAACAAGTTGATTTTTGTTTTGAAAACTCCAATAGGAGAAACATGTCAGCAGAGAATATTTCCTCACTTGGATTATTTAATATTGCTGGCTTTATTTTAAAGTACTAGCTAAAAACTAACAACAAAATACTGTGCAGTTAATAAGACATGCACTTATTAAAAAATAGCTGGTTTTGGTCCTTTTCCCTGATACTTTCCTCTTTAGTCTTGTAAAAAAAATAAAAAATAAAAAAACTGAAAAAGTTAAAGGGTTTTTGACAAACAAGACACCAACAAATAATTGACTTGTTCTCGTCTGATCTGTTCAGGTGCAGTTCTTGAATTATTCAAGATAAATTACAATTCTGGACAATTTCCATTGGAACATCTGTTTGGACTGATTTGCAGATGTGTTTGTTGCAGCATGCTCACAAAGCTGTGCTAGTGTGAGAAACAAAAGTTAAATAACCCTGTTAAAATAATGTTTTTTTTTTAATGTACAACAGGTAGAATTTGTGGCAATTCATAAACATGTTGTTTTAAATTTCAAATTATCCTTTTTTAGCTTTAACCCACACCTAATTAGCAATTCACTAACTGCCTTCACTGCTGTGTGGACATTAAAAAACAGAAAATGAGACTTGGAAATCTCATTGACACGAACTTAAATAAAAAAAAAATTAAATTAAAAAAAAAAAACTTCAGTGGCCCCATTGAATTCCTTGGATTGAATCAGGGCACTCATACTAGAAATACTAAAAATACTAATAATTTGACTTTTGCTTACTCTCCTGCATAAATTTACCAGGTGTGACTGAGTGCAAACAGTCCTTGCTCGTGCGCGCACGCACGCACGCACGCACGCACGCACGCACGCACGCACGCACGC